ACACACACACACACACACACACACACACACACACACACACACACACACACACACAGAAATGTCTACCTGACAAGACCTCTCCACTCCTTGCCAAGTCACACCCATACACCCATGCGTCAAGGTCCCTGAACATCACCCCTCCTCCAAGAAGGCCTTCACACCATTCTGGCCAGCAACACCTACTCTCTGCACTTTCAACATGCACCACCATGAAAGCAGATGTACTGTCTTATTTGTCTCTGAATCTACAAATGTATCCTCCCCACACTCCCACCCCGGGTACGTGGCATAGTTCCTGGGGCAGAGCAAACACACCAGACACCATTATTGCAAGAACAACGAAGTCTGTGCCACATCAAAGTAAAACATAAACGAGCAAGCTCCTCTCCAACATTAAAAATGAGCTCCAATTTGCCAACATTTGATTTACAAAGGGGTTTTCAGGAGCATCATTATTGATTAATTAAAGCAGACACACTTTTGTAGATCTAATAGGAACATCACAGTCTTATTCACAAGTGCAGTGTAAGGGGGTGGTGGGGAAAACAGAAACAGGGCGCAAAGAAAGGGTGCTTGATTAGAACAACCCTGCTCCACCAATCTGTTAACTCATGCAACTGGGTAATTAATATAGCAGAATTAATAATGAGATGGTTTCCATTAAGTAATAAATAACAACACCATGGAGATGTCCTGTGGATCTTTATCCAGGCAGACAAAATTGCAACCAAATCCCTGCTCTTCTCCCTATTCTGCTACTTACTAGCTGTGTGACCTTGGGCATGTTACTCAGCCTCTCTGACCCTCAGTTTCTTTATCTTAAGAAAAATGGGATAAATAATGCTTTCCTTGCAGGACTGCTGTAAGTCAGAAGATATGAAACGTTATAAAGTGCTTGGCAGATGTCAGCAGTAATTACTCATTGTACTTCCAGAGGTGAAGTCCTTCAATTCCCAGACTAAAAGAGCTCCATTTTGCTGATGAACAAAGTGGTATTGAAAAAGAAAATAAAGGTAAGAAAAGGATTCACAGATAATCAGGGGACACTCAGACAATAAACCAATGACAGTGTTATGAGTAAGAGCCACGGTAGAAAAACCGAGGCCAGGTCTCATCTATCCAGAAGCCTTCATTCGTTCTTTATATTTTGGTTTCTTTTCTTTTCTTTTTTTAAAAAATTTTTCCATCAAATGTGAGCACCAGCAACATGCTGATTCTCTATTAGTTTCTGAGGATACTGGAATAACTCGACCCAGCCCTGCCTGCAGCTCTCAGGTAGTGCAGGAGATAGACAAGACTCAGTTATGAATCAAGCATTTGTTAGTGCTTTGATATAGGTATTCAAGCACAGGGAGCTCCTTAACTGTTTTTGAGGGCAAAAGCCATCACAGAGCAGTTTAGTGTGTGTTAACCAAGGAGATCCAGGCAGAGGGAATAGCATTTGCAAAGTCACAGAGGCATGAAAGAAAATGTCCCACTTTGAACACTACAAATTGTCATCATCTGTTGGAGCTTAGGGTTCATGTGGGTAAACTGTGGGTGGTGCACATGTGGGGGTGGTTGAATAGGGGTTATGTTATTGTTGTATAGGAGATGGGCAGAAAAAAAAAAGAAAAAAAAACTAGCCATGAGAGAACAGAAGAATTGGTGGTGCCCAAGAAGAATTTGCAACCCACAAGCCTGGAATACTTTGAGAACATGAATGTGACTTAGATTGTTGTTTATTCCAACTCTCCTATTCGTCCTTCCACACCCTGCTCAGATACTGCAGCCTCCAGGAAGCCTCTCTGACTCCTCCAGAATGGACAGCTCCCTCTTCTATGCCACTGCTGCCCCATTATTGCGTTTATCCTACTGCAATGTATGGATGTCACTGTCTCAGCTTGTCCACCTTCCCTCCCTGGAAGCTCTTTAATGGGAGGCAGGGTACAGCCTCATTCCCTCAGTATCCCCAGTGTCAGCACAGGTCCCATGCTAAATCACTCCAAGTCCCTTGGCTGCCGGGCGGTGGTCCTCACCTGCTGAGAGGGTGATGGTGCTGAGCTTCACACGGTAGAGATTGCTCCGGACTCGCCACTGCTGCACCATGGGGTAACCCATGGCCTCGTCATACCTGATATCTCCTGGGAGAGGGAATAAGATGTTTACATGAGCCCAGAATTTAAACGTTTTATACCACCGTGCCCACCTCGCCCCTCTCACTTTGGATAATGGCCACCTCTTCGAAGTACAGGCTTTCATTGGGGTTGACAATTTTATCTGTACCCCACCTCCAGATCTCTTTCTGGCCTCTGATCTCAGCCCTGACCCTACTTTTTCTCTCTGTTCAACAGCTTGCAAGGTCCCTTTACTCTACAAGCAAGAGCAACCTTAGGACAGATGTAAGTCCCACCTAAGTCCATTGGCAACTTGCCACAGGACACCAGACATCTCAGTGCCTCAGTTTCCCCATCTGACACTGCAGCTATCTCTGCTGATCTTATTTCAAAGGCATGTCATGAGACTCAAATAAGGCAATAGGAGTGGAAGCCTTTTGGTAGCCTAGAAATGATGTACATGTAGACCAAGGTCAGCCCGCTACAGCCCATTTGTTATGTACCATCTATAGCAGCTTTCGTGCTATGACAGCAGATTTGAGCAGTGTCAACAAAGTCTAACACACTTATTATCTGTCCCCTTACATTTGCTGACCGTGTGCAGGTCATTGCCTATTAACATGGAAACGTGGATGTTCAGAAGTGTTACATAAAACACACATGTACATACATAAAAGTTTCCCATTTCAAGTAAGACAGAAATACTGGCTAAACTAAGCTAAACTGTGTGATTTCTCAGTACCTTGAACAGATTAATATGCATTTTAAAGTTCCATGAAGCTAGTACACAAACTTCTTTGACCATGGAACCTCTTTTGCACAGAGGATCAACTGGAACTCACGTTCCATAGAACGTATTTCGGGAAACATAGGTATCAAAAAATAAAGAAAAAAGTACAACAAAATGTTAGCAAATGCTTAACTTTGGGTGGTGGATGTATGAAAAATTCTTATTTCCTGATTCATATTCATTCACATTTTCTAAATTTTCTATGCTAAGTTTTGCAAACTCTCTTTTTTATAATCAAGAAAAAAATACATAAAAAGGAAATGTTAGTCACATCAGCAGTTATTATTACTGTTGTCATGTATCTATGCTTTCTTGTGCCTCTGCAAATATCAGGCATATTTTCTATCCTTTTCTCTTGTCCCCTAGTGAGGAGGCACTTAAGAACATATTTGATACCAAGATTAGAATAAGAATCTCATTGGAACAAATGATTTCTTCCTGGACATTACTGCAATATTAAAGCTGTACATTATTGTCGCCCTTTTTTTTTTTTTTCTCTTTAGCCTTTTCAGGAATAATATACTTTTTAAAAGGCTTTCATTTTAAAGAAAAATATTCATGATCCCCAAAGATATGTCCATTGGAGTGAGGTTGTTTTGTTATAAATATGTCCTCTGTTTATCTGCTCAGTCTTTCCTGCCCTTCCTTTGCAGCGGCTAGGGAGAAAAGGAGAGCAGGTGGAAGGAAAAAAGAGAGGGCTGTGTTTCTAACTCAGGGCAGAGAAAATAGTCTGCACAAGAAGATTCAGACAGCAGGTCCCAGGCCACCTCTACCCTTTCTATTACTGTTCATCTGTGTTCAAAGAAGGATTGGTGGGGGCATTGGTGACTGAGGCCTATCTCCAACAGAGGGAGGCAGAACATTCTGATGCAGGCTCTTGAGGCAGCTCTTTCATTTGGTGGCATTATGTCCAAAAAGAAACAAAAAACAAAAGAAATTTCTTCCAATTATCAAGTAATTTATACAGTCTTTCCATTAGAGCATAGCACCTCCCCATGGACCATGGAAATGTCTGGTTTGGTCAGTGGTGAATTCCCCATCACTGGAGATATCCAGAGAGGGATATTATAGATCTAAGTCCTCATCAGTAAGGAAGATTAGACTGGATGTCCTTTGTAGGTCATGTCAGCTCTGAAATTCTATGATCTTATGAAAAATAAAACTTAAGAGAGACATAGACATTCTTGAGCACATTTTGCAAGGCGTTTTTACATCCATGATTTCATCCAATTTACATCTGGACCCTCTTTGAGGTAGGACAGGAAATAAAACTTAAGAGAGACATAGACATTCTTGAGCACATTTTGCAAGGCGTTTTTACATCCGTGATTTCATCCAATTTACATCTGGACCCTCTTTGAGGTAGGACAGGTTAGGGGAGTGAGTTAAGATAGTGGATATGGCATCAGCTTAGAGGTCAAGACCAACTAGGCTTAAACCCTGACGTGACTATAGACTAGCTACATGGCCTTGGAGGAGTTGTGTGACCTTCTGAACCAATTTAAAAGAGGACAGTAATGCCAGTGAAGAGTTACATGGGTTAACACATGAAAAGTGCTTGGTCCCCAGGAGACCCTCAGTACATACGGGTTCTCTCTATGCCACCTTATAGGAAAAGCTCATGAAAGTTAGATGAGTTTCCAAACTCTTCCAGAGCTTGCAAGTGACCGGAGGGGATTTAAACCTAAGTCTGTCACATTGCAAGGTAATATCCCTTCTCAATGGGAAGTGATCATTTTCCCTGGACAATGGATAAGACACCCAACTACTGTATCACAAAGGCAGAGTCAAGGCCCTGACATCTTAGGAAAGTCCCCAAGAAAAGTAGGAGAGGAACTGGGAGAAGGCAGGGAGGAGCAGAAGGACATCCTGGGGTGGGAACGAAAATATGCAGCCTTAGGACGGCCTGAAAAAGACAGCTTCTCAGTAGGGGTAGAGAAAGTTTTAGGGGTGGGGAGCTGCAAAGTGGAGTGAAAAGGGCAAAAGACTTGGTGCTGTGGCACCTTGGTTCTAGTCCTGGCAGATATGCTGTGTGAACTTGGGCTGGTCCCTTCACCTCTCTGAGTCTAGATTCCTTATCTACAAAATGGGAAGTGTAATACCCACTGGACAGATGGCTCAGTGCCCACATACAAAAACAAGCTGTGTAACTCAAGTGTTTTCAAGCAGGACAGTCTTCTGGTTGAAGAGTTCATTTATTTTACTTTAGAATAATTTTTAAATAAACCAAGAAAACAAAATAGCAAAAGTGAAAAAAAGATCAGAAAATTGTCAATGAGATTAAAAAATACTTTAAGACTCAGACACAGAGGCAAAACCCTCACTAAGAAAGATTGTGCCTTTTCTGAGAGAGGCATTTCTCCTCAAAGATGGCCCAGCACAGAGTCTGGGGTCTTAGGGAAGTCCCTAGTTGTGCATAGCAGAAATCCAAGAAATGACAGGTCCCTTTCCCATCCCATCCCTCATGAAGGAGGAGGCCTGGCTGGGCCTGCCTTGGGTCTGCTGATGACTGATGTGCACCTGGGGACCGGGTGTGTGGTTGGGGAGACTAGAAGGGTCTCGCACGTGTGTCTTACCAGTGAGCAGCTGGAGGTCCGGGAGCGGCTCAGACAGAACCCCCCGGCACTGCTCCTCCACCGGCAGCGGGATCACCAACAGCCCATCGGCCAGCTGGGGGAAGTCCTTGATGAAGTTATTCTCCCTGTGGAGAGGAGCAGAGAGACTGCCAAATGGAGGAAGTGGAGAATTCTGGGGCTGAAGGGCCGGGAGGCAGGAAGCTGGTAGTCAGGGCAGCGACTCAAAGGTGAGTGGCTTTGCTGCGATGCTTCTGGCTCCCCGAATCCCAGTTCTGAGAACATGGTGCTAATGACAGACTCTGGAACCAGACAGGCTGGGGTTCAAATCCTGGCCCCCCGTCACTGGCTGTCCCATCTCAACAAGCTACTGTTCCCCTCCGAACTGTGGATTCCTTGTCTATAAAGTGAGACTTGATCTCAGGGCTGTTGTAAACACTTAATGAGATGAAGGTGTCAATTGTTTAAGACACTCTCCAATGCTCTACGAACATTGGCTGCTAAATGTCCCCTTGCATAAGCAATGACAATGGTCAACCAGGATGTGAGAGAACTGAGATCACTGTGGAGTGTTTGAAGAACAGAGGGGCAAGGTTGAGCTGAAGAAAAGAAGGCTTGGAAAATGGATGTTTTCTGTTAAAGTGCAAGGGTCCTAAGAATTCTTTCGGCTCCAACTCCTCCTTTTACAGATGGAGAAACTGAGGCCTGGAGGAGTGACTTGCTTAATGACAACCAATGGGTTAGACTCAAAGCCACGACTCCTGACTCCCAGACTGGTGTTCATTCCCTGCCTAACTTCTTTAGGGACTTCTATCCCTTCCAGGTGGGGCAATCCCAGGGAATGGAAGACAGAGCCCTGGGTGACGTGAGAGGCTGGTGGTGACGGTGCAGCACAGGGGAGGCAGGCTTCATTCTTCTAGACAACAGACCTGCCTATAACAGGAACAGCCTGCCAAGAGAGGTGGTGAGCTTCCTGTTACTGGGGTGTGTGAGCAGGAAACTTGATAGCCAATTGGCATGGATGGCATCAAGGGCATTTCTGTATTAAATCCGACTTTTGAGGTTGCTTTGTATTCAGAGCTCTTCAGAGTTAGAGACACTAATTACAATCTGGACAGGGAGGACGAGGGGGAGAAGAACAAAAAAGGGGGAGGGTGTTTACTGCTTCATTTTGCCACCTGGAGTGGGCAACCTTGAAAGGAAAATCAGAAAAAGGAAAACAAAAATATGTGATGCCAAAGCAATGCCTTTGAAGCCTGGATCTCAGGCAGTTCAAAAGCAGCTGGGAAAGTCTTGGGTGGCCCGGGTCACCTTCCTGTCTGTACTCCACATCTCTGCTCCCCACCCGGGGCTCCCGTCAAGCTCACCATGGATTCATACACTTGGTGAACACCTGCTCCGTGTCTAAGTCCAGAGGAGGTGACATTAGCACCATCTTCAACATCACCAGCATCACCACCATCATCATTATCATTGTCATCATCATCTCTATTATTTCAATTTGCTAGTATTTAGCTAAGCACTTACATCCATTTTATCATTTAATCTTCACAGCAACCCCACAAGAAAGATAAGATTATCTCTAAATTACAGATGAGTAACAATGAGATTCAGAGTTAATAGGTGGTAGAGTTGGGATTTAAACCCAGGTCTGGCGGACCCTGGGCCTGCCTGCCCGGGCATGCACGTGCATGATGTGAGTTTCTAGGTCCACATGTGCCATGTAAGCATGCTATTGTGTGTGGGTGTTCCATGTCAGTCTGAAAGGTCATACTTGTTTATGTCTGTATGTGCACATGATCGTGAGTTCCACCCAGGTGGTTATTCTTTGGTTTGTCTGTAAATCTGGGAGTGTGGAAGGGCAATGTGAATAGGAAAAGACAGCCTTCTGGGCAGCAGAAGTGCCACCACGTAGCATGTAACACTAGCCAGGGTTTAAGGGACTAAGTTTTCTCATGTTTCCTTTGCGAGGTGGCCTCTGGTGATACAGATCTTCTCTCAAAGATGTAGCGGGTTGGAGGGGTGTTCCATCCCACTGAACATACACTTGAGGTGGAGCCCTGTGCTGAGTGCTACAGACAGATAGACTGGATCCTCTGCTCGTCCTCTAGGTCTTCCCAGCATAGTGGAGGAGACACAAATTGGCCATGCAGAACAGTCAGTGGGGCCTGCTATCAGGAATTCTGTGTGGGCTGGATGCTTCTGCACAAGGGTTTCTTCCCCATGAGAACCCGAGCACTTGTTTCTGGGTAGGAGAGGCCAAGGGTGAGGAGGTGGCAATGGCTCTGAGGACCAGACTCCAGTTCCACATTGCATCCTACCTGCGTGACCTGGAGCAAACCACCCAAACCACAATTTTCCCATCTGTACAATGGGTATCATAAAAGTTACTCAGCCTGCCTTGATAGAGGGACAATAATAACCATAGCCTTTTATTGAGCACCTCCTATGCACCAGTCACATGCAAATACTTCATATTTAGTCTTCACCGAACCCCATGAAGTAGGTGCCATGAAGATCCTCAGTTTAGAGATTAAAAAGCTGAAGCACATAGAAGTTATGTAACTACTCAAGGCCACACGGCTGAGAAGTGGGAGACCCCAGGTGGTCTGGCCCCAGAGCCCACGCTCCTCATCACTGCTCAGGTGCAGGGTACAGGCACAGGCTGTCTGAGCTGGAAGGGCCATAGCACCCGTGGGCATTAGGCCAGGACAGGCCGCAGCTGAGAGAAGGGGCCTGCTGCCCATTACAACTAGACCACATGTCAGGGGCTCCATTCTCAGTGTGACATCACTGGTACTTACACCAACACCAGGAGACAGGCATGATTATATTCCCCATTTAACCGATGGGGAAAGGGAGGCTCAGAGACGTGAAGTGATTTCTGTGGACTTACACAATGAGCACATCTGGGAAGCGAAATTGGAAGGCAAATTTATCTTTGTTCATTTTATTAGCCATTTCAAATCTTCTCTGGAAATGTTTTTATAATTGCAGAGAAGGGAAGGTAGAGCTGTCCTCTCTATCCCCCATCCCTCTCCTCCAATCCCTCTGCCTTCTGGTCAGGTCAGTCTTACCTCAGTAGGAAAATCTGACCCCAAATGGGCAATGGGGGGCAGCCCAGTGGGCAAGCTCAGGAGGCAGAGAGGGAGCCTGGCTCATGATGCCCCCTGTTCTTGGAGGAAGGTTTTTCCTCTGAGCTTCCAGGAAGCAGAGAGGGGCTTGAGGCAGTCCATGAGTAGGAGGGAGAAGATGGAAGGGGCTGGTTAGCTGGCCAGGAGGGAGGGAGGAGGGGAAGGATGAAGCACCGGATGACAAGACAGCAACTGCATGGTGGTCTCTGAGGTACTGGGTCCCTTTGTGCTGCCTGGGCGATGGCACGAGTCCTGCAGGGCATTCGCCAGCAGAGGGCACCCAGGGCCTTTGCATCAATCAGCTCTTTCAGGAGCAAAACATGTATGGGAATAGCAGCCGCTGGGAAAGTTCTGCTGGGCTGAGAAGCTCAGATCAGATAGAAGCCCATCAGATGGTAGCAAGGACAGCAGCTTCAGAATCCACCCACCTGGGACAGGTGACCAGAGAGCTGCGGGGGGCTGGCTTAAGCTCAGGTGGTCAGAAACCAAATTCAGGTTGTCAGAGCTTTAGTGCGTGCGTGTGTGTGTGTGTGTGTGTAGTAAAAACTAATAGGTAACTAACCCTAATAACAGGAGGAAGAATACATAATACTTACTAAGATTTATTGATAGGATTTGTTGATCATGACCTATTTTAAGGTAGTGTGCCAAGATATGCATGTGTGTGTGTGTCATTTTAACCTTACAGGAACTCTGAGACAATTACTATTATTATTTCCATTTTATAGATGAAGAAACAGATGGTAAGAGAGGTTAAGGAAATTATCCAGCTGAGGTCCAGGGTTAGGAAGTGGCAGTGGCCAAGATCACATCTAACCCATCCAGCTCCTAGCTGAGTCCCTGGCACCCAGTGAGCACATGCTCAGGTGATTCAGTCCAAAGCCTGTGCCCTTGATCACTGGGATAACTTGACTCATTTAGAGGTGAGACCAGGCAGTTCTGCTGTTTACTGCCACAGTGGCATGTGCTTTGGTGAGCAGAGATTTGGCTGGTATGTGTGTCTATGTATGTGTGTGTATAAGCAAATATTGTGTTTCAAATAGCAACCGAGCCACTGTTGTCTATACAAACATCTCTCAAGTTATATCTATCAAAACACACCAGTCTCAGTTGACATATGAAAACAATTTATCAAATTCTTGAGATAGTAGATCCTGGGTCATGGGGATGCAGGGAATGAGAGGCCTCTTTCATTCCACAAACACCTACTGGGAGTCTACCCTGTTTCAGGGACTGTTCTGGGCTCTAGGAATACAGCAGGGGAAAATCAGAAGAGGTGCCTCCATGCGCAAAGACCAGAAGAGAATCTAAATACTATGTTAAAGTCTCCAAGGCCCCTCACAATCTAGCCCCTGCCTACCCTGGCTGCACTGACTGCTCTTAACTTCCCCTATGGGGTATACTCACATCCTACACAGAGCCCCACTTAGGATTTACACTCTTTCTAGAAAGTTCTTCCCCTCACTCTGCACCTGGACAACTCTTAGTCATCACTCAGACCACACACTATTTCACGGCTTTTGAGAAATCTTCCCAGAATCAGTTCTCTTGTTCCGTACTCTCACAGTATCATGTTCTTTTCTTCCATAAAGGGCTTCACAATTTCTAATGATAGGTGCTCATGGGAGGCCCTGTTTGACATCTGTCTCTCCCACTAGACCGTGAGCTTCATGTGGGCCACAACTGGACCCATCCAATGTACAGTGGCCTGCCTAAAACCAAGCAGTGCAAAGTGAGTAAAACTGGGTGAAAAGTAGGTGCTCCATGAACATTTGTTAAAGTAATGAAGGAAGGAAGCCCAGAGACAATGGCCATGTGTGCACAACCTGTATCTTTTGATGAAGGCTTTCTAAGTTTTGCCACAGGGTACCAGAATGCTTCAAGATTGAGGGGATATTGGGGATTTGAGTCTAAAATCCCAGCTCTTTCAAAAAAGCTTCAAAACCATACTTTCTTTCCCTAACTTCCCAAATGCATAGAAACCCTGACTCCCCATGGAGTTTGAACAGAAAGGGCCAAGGGCCACTGAGCTGGTAGGAACCAGATGGGAAAAGACAATCCCTGTAAGCAGGGGTGGGTTGGGCCTCCCACTCTTGCCAAGCACTTGTGCATTCTTGAGGGGGTGAGCTGGGAAGAGGGGTGCCAGCAGGCAGCAGAAGCCCCGGGAGCAACACTGAGGGTTGCGATCCCGTTGCCGGTCCCAGTCCGGTACAGGCGCGACACTGAGGGTTGCGATTCGTTGCCGGACACGAAAAAAGACAAAAAGGAAAAAAAAAAACAAAACAACAACAACAAAAAAACACCTCTTTCATGACAGCATTCCAGTTTTTCCCAGGAGGAATAAATCTTCCTGTCACTTTAATCTCATGAATCTTCTTTGTGAATAGACTCCAGAAGTGGCCTTGGGATCTGATGGAAGAAAGGGCATGGATCTAGAAATTCTATAGTCATGGATTCATATTCTGGCTGTGTGACCTTGGGAGGGGTCACTTAAATTTTGTAAGCCTTAGTGACTTCATCTATAAAACGGGGATAATAAATTTAGCTTCAAGGGGTTGGGAAGAGGATTTATATAATGTTATATATATTTTTTTTTTACTTCAAAAAATTTTATTATAAAAGAAATTCAAGTTAATCAGAGAAAACTTGGAAGATGCCAACAACTCTCAAGATAAAAATTAAAATACATATCTAAAATTATATTAATTACAAATATGGTTGTATATTTGTTATACACCTTTTAATATAACTTGTCTGCAATGCAAAGTTCTAAAGAGTACTAGAAAAGTAATTCTATATACATTTATATAAAGTTATCTTTAATGCTAGTTTCTTTTCCTGAATCCCATACTAGATTCTGAATCTCTTCAAGGGTCTCAGAGAGCCCAGCACAGTGCCTGGTTCACAGTATATGCCCCTAAGCATCTGCTGAACTATGTCCTCTTTATACTCCAACACCACCTGAATGTGACCTCTAAGTGACACAAATCCTGTAAAGCATTTTCATGGAGGATGCACCATGTCTCGCTTCCTTCTGATCAGCCCAGCTGACCAGAATGTAAGCATAGGGAGCTGGACTCCTCCGCCACCCTTCTCCATATATTTGCTCCCTTCCACCTCCTGTTAAGAATATGTGTGAGTGTTTTGGATACATTAATACACAGCGACCAGCATGCAAGAGCCATCACCCCTCACTTCTAGGAAAATTAGCATTTAAATTGAGGTATTTCAGGGAGGTAAATCACCCCAGAGCCAGCCAGCACTGTCTGCAGGTTTTTCTTACTTGAAGGAAAAACTAGGAGCCTTGAACTGGGAGATGCTGGGTTTGCAGGGAGGGGCA